TTGAAATCCAACACCCCAAATTCCCAAGGTGAAGGAACCATGGCCGGATCTTCTGGCACCCTCTACCAGTTCCGTCCAGGAGTAACGAAGCAGACGGTGGAGTCACTTGGTAATCATCTTCCTTTAATGACCCCGTAAATCCCTTGTGGGGTGGAGCCTGGGTGACTGAATGGAGCTAGCAGAGTGTTTTAATGGCCGGGTGCCTTTCCTGTTGCCAATGAGGAGTTTTGTTCGGCAGATATATTCTCAAGTGTGCCCAGAGAAGAGAAATAAATACTTGCCTCTAGGTAGGATTGAACTCACAGCCTCCTGGTTGTGAGGCGAGATCTCCACCTCTAGGCCACCACACCACTCCCAGAATCACTCTGGTAATGAGGATGGTGAAAAGGGACGCTGGGAGTGATAGAATCGGGTTTAGGGGGAGATTACACCTTGCTACGTTTTTTTAGTAGGCCTTTCCCCCCCATTGAGAAAATTAGCACCCACTTGCTAGCTTTCTAACTGCAGGGTGTGGGTAGGAGTTGGATGAAAAGCAAATGCAAAATTTTAGGATCAGAGGAATGTCTCCCCACCTCACCCCAACCCCTTTCTAACTCCAGTTTTCTAAAGAAGCTTTTTTTTAAAAAAAAAAAAATCAAGGTATGATTGCTGTGTGAATTCTTAAAGAAGCCAGAATGAGTCATGAATAGTTGTGGAGTCAGCAGTATAACAAATCTTACAAAAAGTGGGCAAATTTTCATACTATCCCCTGGGCAAAAAAATAAAATCGGAAGTCTGGAAAACTCAGAAAAAAAGTGAAAAAAAAATTCCCAACACATGAAAGATTATTTAATAACATTTCTGGGTTCCTTTTGTTCTTTTTGCCATATGAACTTAAAAAAAGGCTTCAGTTTTCTGGGCATCTGTTCGATGAAGATAAATCTATTGTCCTTTTAATAGTTCATTGTTTTAAAAACAGCCAGTATTGAGAAATTTTCCTGGTCCTGTTTCAGAAATTTCTGCAGCCATCATAAGGACTAGAAACTTTAAAGCCATTCCCATTGGATTAACCAAGAAGAGTTGCAAAGAAGGGTTGTTGTTTTTTTGTGTGCGTGAGGAGAAAAGCATTTGGGGCAGGAAGTCATCCCTGTAGGGCTGTTAAGAAAGCAATAAAATAAAATAAAAATAAAATGGAGGACCAAGGTTATCTGAAGGGAGATGCGAAACTGATGAAAGGACAGTTTTAAAGCACCCCTGTCAATAAGCTCATAAAAATTAGTGGCAGGCTAAAGTGGTTGGCCAGAATGTTAATTGGCTTAGAGTGTGTAACTCGCAGTTTATTTATTTTTTAAGGTTGGGCCAGTGAGTGGAGAGAGAAAGGGGAGTTAAACTGTAATGCAGGCCTGCTTTTAAGACTGAATTTCTCCAACCTCAGCAACTTTGAGGTATGGACTTCAACTCCCAGAGTTCCTCAGTCCAGATCTGAGGACTTAAAAGTCCCAGAATTCTTCAGTCCAGATCAGAGGACTGAAAACTTCAATAATTCCTCAGTCCAGATATGAGGATTTAAACTCCCAGAATCCCTCAACCCAGATCTGAAGACTTAAAACTCCCAGAATGCCTTAGCCCAGATCTGTGGACATCAGCTCCCAGAATTCCTCAACCTGGGCAGATCTGTGGACTTAATCTTCCATAATTCCTTGGTCCAGATCTATGGACTTCAACCCCCAGAATTCCTCAGTCCAGATCTGTGGACTTCCAACTCCCAAAATCCCTCCAACCCAGATCTGTGGACTTAAAAACTCCCAGAATTCCTCAGTGCAGAGCTGAGGATTTAAACTCCCAGAATTCCCCTGACTGGCTGGGGAATCTTGGGAGTTGAAGTCCATACATTTTAAAGTTGCTGAGCCTGAGAAACTATTGGGGTGCATTTGAAGTAGTTTGGGGGGAAATGAACAGGAAACTCTTTGGGTTTCAGCTTTGAGCCTTCGGAATCCACTCACCGTCCAAAGCTCCTATCAAGCCGCTTTTAACGTTGCCCATGTTTCAGTCAATGGCGACATGGTGGGCACTGGAGCCTACGCTGGGCTGCACCTGGTCTCCCCCCAGCTGAACGGGGCCGCCGTTGTGGGGACGGGGAGCTACGGGCGTTCCCCTTTGGTGAGTCTGTGGGGAGGAGAGGCCCCCTTGCAGGGGAGGGCAGAGGGGGGAGGGGCTTCCCTGGTATTAATCAAAGTTCCTCTGTCCTTCTAGGTAGCTTATGATCCCCACGTGCATTTGAGGGCTTCGGGCCTTTCGGCGGGAATGCAAGCTGGCATGTCTTCTGCCAAGCCGTAAGTGTGAGCAGGAGCTCAGTGTTGGCTCCTTGGTGCATCCCCTTTGAGAGCAGGGGGTCCGAATCAAGCCCCCCCCGCCCCCGCCCCTCCGAGATGGTGGTCCTGGAAATGATGCAGGGCAAAAATTCCAAACTTCTTTCCTTCCCTCTTTCTTTCCCTTCCCTTCCCTCTTTTCTTCCCTTCTTTCCTTTCCCTCTTCCCTTCCTTTCTCTTCCCTTTCTTTGCTTTCCCTCTTCCTTTCCCTCTTTTCTTCCTTCTTCCCTTCCCTCTTTCCTTCCTTTCCTTTCTCCCTTCCTTTCATTTTTCCTTCTCTTCCCTTCCTTTCTGTCTTCCTTTCTCTTCCCTTTCTTTGCTTTCCCTCTTCCCTTCCCTCTTTTCTTCCTTCTTCCCTTCCCTCTTCCCTTTCCTTCTTTTCCTTTCTCCCTTCCTTTCCTTTCCTTTCTTTTTCCTTCTCTTCCCTTCCTTTCTCTCTTCCTTTCTCTTCCCTTTCTTTGCTTTCCCTCTTCCTTTCCCTCTTTTCTTCCTTCTTCCCTTCCCTCTTCCCTTTCCTTCCTTTCTTCCTCCATCCAGCTACTATTAAACTGCTCTTATTGTTACCATGGGTGGGTGGGGGGATGGGGATTTTAAGAATTTTAGCCGAGATCCAGATGGAGAGAAATATCAAAAGCGGAGTGGAATATCAACAGGGCCAGCAGCAGTTCAGAGCTTCAGAGAGCTTGGCTTCATATCTGATCTCGCTTTCCAGATGTTACTCCATGCCAGCCGCTGCTCCATGAGCGGCCCTTTCCACCCCCTCGGGTTCCTCCTTTACGGGCTGCCTGTGTAAGTGAGCCTTGTCTGTCCTACCACCCAGGGCCTATTCCTTCCACGTCAGCGCTGACGGGCAGATGCAGCCGGTGCCCTTCCCTCCCGACGCCCTGATCGGCTCCGGCATCCCACGCCACGCCCGCCAGCTCCACACGCTCTCCCACGGCGAGGTGGTCTGTGCCGTCACCATCAGCAATTCCACCCAGCACGTCTACACGGGGGGCAAAGGCTGCGTCAAGGTCTGGGATGTGGGGCAGCCGGGCACCAAGACCCCCGTGGCCCAGCTGGACTGCCTGGTAAGCGAAGCAGGGGCCTCGCTTGAGTGCTCCTTCCCCGTTCCTTTCTTTTCCTTCCCTCCTTCTCCTCACTTCTGTCTTTTCCCTTCCCCTTCTTTCCCTTCTCCCATTTCCTTCCTTTATTCATCCATTCCCTTCTCCCCTTTCCTCCCTCCCTCCCCTCTCCTCTCTTTTTCCTTCCCTTCTTCCTTCTCTTTTCTTCCTCCTTTCCCTTTTTCCTTCCTTCTCTTCCTTTCCTTTTTTCCTTCCTTCTCTTTTCTTCCCTTGCCTCCCCCTTCTGCCTTTACTCCCACCCTCTTCTCTCTCTCTCTCTCTCCTTCCTGTCTTCCTTTCATCTCCCATCTCCTTCCTTCTTTTTCCTTCCTTCCTTCCTTCCTTCCATCCATCCATCCATCCATCTCCCATCTCCTTCCTTCTTTTTCCTTCCTTCCTTCCCTCCTTCCCCCTTCCCCTCCTTGTTTGTTGTCTCCCATCTCCCTCTCGTTCCTTCCTTCCTTCCTTCCTTCCTTCCTTCCTACCTTCCTTCCATCTCCTATCTCCTTCCTTCTTTTTCCTTCCTTCCTTTCCTCCTTCCCCTCCTTAATTGTTGTCTCCCTCCCTCCCTCCCTCCCTCTCCTTCCTTCCTTCCTTCCTTCCTTCCTTCCTTCCTTCCTCCCTCCCTCCCTCCCTCCCTCCCTCCCTCCCTTCCATAGCCAACTGAAAGGAAACTCACCCACCCCAGGTATTTCCCTAGCCTTAAATCTCTCTGGGCTAATCCTCCCCAGAAACACTTACGGTGTTTTATAGCATTAATTCTTCATGCTGACATCTAGATTTAAAGTTGGGCTCCCTTGGTTTTACCGCTCTCCTACCTTCCCTACTGCTTTTTCATCCCCACCGGAGGAGCTGGGAACTTTCCTTTTGCAATCTCCTCAAGAAAGGAGGAATGGAATCTTTCCCAGAGACCAAATTTGTGGGGCGGGGGGGCGCCTCCCCCCCCCCCCCCCCCCCCCCCCGGCAAAAGATGGTGATGCCACGACTTCCCTCCCACGTCCTGATTTTCCTCTTTTCTCCCTGCCAGAACCGAGACAACTACATCCGATCCTGCAAGCTTCTTCCTGACGGCCACAGCCTCATCGTTGGGGGCGAGGCCAGCACCTTGTCCATCTGGGACCTGGCGGCCCCCACGCCCCGGATCAAGGCCGAGCTGACCTCCTCCGCCCCGGCATGCTACGCCCTGGCCATCAGCCCCGACGCCAAAGTCTGCTTCTCCTGCTGCAGCGACGGCAACATTGTGGTCTGGGATCTGCAGAACCAAACCCTGGTTCGGTAAGGACTCTCGTGAAGGACCGAGGGGCTGCAAGGGACCGCTTGGCCTGGGAAAGCGCCGATTCTGGGCTTCAACTGATCACAGGCTTTGGCTGGCCGGTCCTCCTCTCACCTTTAAAACAGACAGGGCATTGGTTTCGATTTCATATTGCAATTAAATTGCAATAATTAAAGCAAATGGTTGAAATATTTCAGTATTGTTCTGACCTAGGCGGAAGCATGAAGCCAATAAACCTCTTTTATTTAATTTACAGTGAATTCCACTCCAGCAAAGTCCTGGCCAACAGTCTTTCAAGATAGTTTACAATTACAGACCTTTATCAGGCTTGGAGAGTTGCCAGGCCGATATCTTCCAAATGCCACACTGTAGCAGACAACACTTGGCCAGGAGTCAGGAACAGATCTTCACCCTAATGAATTGAATTAATTGTCTCTTGCAAACCCCACTCCCCTTTCTCTCCTCTTTATTCCCTCTGGGAGGGGCCATTCACCACCCACCTGTGCCCTTACTCCTGAGTCGACTCTTGTTCCTCAGCTGTTCCCTTCATTTGGCAGCTCTGTGCATGAGCACACTGGGAACAGGCTCCAGCTGTTCTTCTTCCCCACTGATCTCCGACTCCGAAGGCAGCTGATAACTGTCAGACAACCCTGGCCCCATCTCTGCCTCCGACGCAGAGCCCTCGTCAGAGCCTTCCCCAGACTCCAGGACGGGCCCAGGTTCCTCCCCAACCTCCTCACTGTCCGAATCTGCTGCCAACTCCGCTGGCTGCTGCCGGGCCCCAACACATATTTCTGGATTGTATCAACGAAAAGGGCACACAAGTGAACATAAAAGGCGGTTCCATAGCACAAAAACAATCATCCAAAAGATTGCCAATTATTTATAGGTTATCTCCAATATTGACAATTTCTTTCTAGTTTGGGTATTTCTAGCAGGCATGGATATGTGTGTGTGTGTGTATATATACATACACACACACTCATGATTCTCCTTCTCCTTTCCATCCTCTTCCTCCATTTTTCTTCTCTTCTCCTTCCTCCTCCTCTTTTTCCCCTCTTTCTGCCCCTGTTCTTTCCTTTCTTCATCTTCTCCTCCTCGCTGTTTCTCTTCTTCCTTTTCCTCCTTCTCCCTCTCTTCCTCCTATTCTTCCTCCTCTTCATTTTTCTCTTCTTCCCCTTCTCTTCCATTCCTTCTCTTTTCCCCTCTTTCTCCTATGCTGCTTCTCTTCTCCCTCCATCACTTCTTCCTTTTACTTTTCCATCTCCCTTCCTGCTCTTTATTTTTCTCTTGCTCCTATTCTGTCTTTCCTCCTTTTCTTTTCCTCTTCCCATTCTTCTTTCCTTCCTTCTCCTTTTCCTTCTTTCGCCGCCTCCTCCTCTTCTCCCTTCTTTTCTCTTCCTCCCATGTGTCTTCACTTCCTTCTCTTTTCCCTCCCACAATCTTCTCTCCCTCCTCTCCCTCTTCTTCCTTTTTGTCCTCCCCTCTCACTCCTCCAATGCTCCTTCTCTTTTTCCCTTCACCTTCTTCTCCCCTCCCCCTCTTCCTCTCCCTTCATTTTCTTCCCCCCTCCCCGTCTTCTCCTCTCCCTTCAGACAGTTCCAGGGTCACACGGATGGGGCGAGTTGCATTGACATTTCCAACGATGGCACCAAACTCTGGACCGGCGGTTTGGACAACACCGTCCGGTGCTGGGACCTGCGTGAAGGCCGGCAGCTGCAGCAACACGACTTCAGTTCCCAGGTCAGCTGGGAGGAAGGAGGGGGAACCCAGGTTGGGGAGCTCAGAAGGAGAAGCCCAGTTGCATTGGGGACTTGTGGAATTTAAGGTCAGAAAGTCTGTAAAAGGGACAGGTGGTCCTCGACTAACGACCCCAGGGTTTCTGTTGGGAAGTGAGAAATTGATTTGACCCATTTGACGACCTTTCTTGCCACAGTTGCTAAGCAAGTCACACGGTTGTTAAGCGAATCTGACTTCCCCGTTGAGTTTGCTTCTCAGAAGGTCACAAAAGGGGATTACATGACCCCCGGGACACTGCGACCGTCATAAATAAGAACCAGTCCCAACAACTGAATGTCAGTCACATGGCCCTGAGGATGCTGCGACGGTCACAAGTGTGAAAACTGGTCCTAAGTCCCTTTTTTTCCAGTGCCGTTGTAACTTAGAACGGTCACTAAATGAAACTGTTGTTAAAGTGGAGGCCAGCCTTCCTTCTGCTCTTGTTAACTTTGTCTCGCATGAAAACCATCCTGCCTTTTATTTGGCTTTCGGTGGGATTGCAACCTCATCAAGTTTTGGTCATCATGAGGACTAGAATCTTCGAACTGAGTTTGAAGCCTTCTCTTGCTTTTAACTTTGCAATCATGAGGACTAGAATCTTTGTGAATTTTGCTTTGTGTGTTTCAAAGGTACCATCCTGGCCCTCAAACCTTTTAAAGCTTTAATCTTCAACTATCCCCATCTTTATTTCTTTCTCTCTCTCTCTTTCTTTTCTTTCTTTTCTGTCTTTTTTTTTCTTCCTTCCTTCCTTTCCTACCTTTCTTCCTTTTCCTTCTTCCTTCCTTCCTTCTGTTCTTTTTCCTTCCTTCCTTTTTTCTTCTTCTTCCTTTTATTATTTCCGTCCTTCCTATTCTTTTTCCTTCCTTCTTCCTTCCTTCCCTCCCTCCCTCCCATTCTTCCTTCCTTCCTTCCTCCCTCCCTTCCTTCCTTCCTTCACTTCCCTTTCTACCTTCCTTCCTTTTTTCCCTTTTCCTTCTTCCTTCCTTCCATTCTTTTCCTT